ACTTGTAGGAGGAGGATTAGCCAGCTGAGCCATCATGCTGGCCCCCATCCTAGTGTCTTAATCACTGTGCCAAATTTCTACCCTCTAGGAATTTCTTTTAAGTAGTTTCCTGGAGCAGGTATGTGGTACAGAGGTTAAGTTGCTACTTGGAACACCCGTATCCTGTAACACAATCCCCCACAAGTATCTAGTTTGAGACCTGGCTACTGCTCGTCTAGCCAGTTTCCTGATAATGCACTCGGTGTAAAACAACCAGTGATGTTTCCAGTGACTGAGTTGCCGCCACCTGCTTTGGAAATCCAGATGAACTTCCTGGCTCCTGGCTTCAGTCTGGCTATCTGAGGAATGAACTAACAGATGAAGGTAGATTTCTCAATCCTTCCCTCCCTTTCTCTCTCAAGTGACTCTTTGAAATAAATAAATCTTTAAGACAATAGTTACTTGAAAGAGTTATGGAGGGAGATTTTTCATCTGTTGATTCATTCCCCAGGTGGCTGCAATGGCTGGAGCTGGACCAGTCTGAAGCCAGTAGCTTCAGCTGGGTCTCTCACTTGGGCAGCAGGAGCCCAAGCACTTGGACCGTCTTCTGCTGCTTTTTCCAGGGCATTAGCAGGGAGTTGGATCAGAAGTGGAGCAGCCAAGGATGCTGCCATAATAGGCAGCAGTTTTACCTGCTATGCTATAATGCTGTCCTTCATAAAAGAATATTTGTACAATCATCGTATCTCTCAAAGTCTTAACTTAGCCCAAGGTTAATATGAAAGCTCAAAGTCTGGTATGGGACTCAAGGCAACTTTTAGCTGTTAGCTTGTAAAAGTCCAAGTCACAATACTTCTAAGACATGAAGGTAGGAGAGGTACAGGGTATATACTGCCAGCTGGAAAAGATTAACCAGACAACTACTAAAAAAAAATAAATAAATAAATAAAAAGAGGGGCCAGAGTTGAGAAAAGCGGTTAAGCTGACTGCTCATCATGCCAACATCCTATATGGGAGCAACATTTTGAGTCCCATTTGCTGTGCTTCTGATTTAGCCCCCTGTTGATGTCTCTGGGAAATAGTGAAAGATGGCTGGCATGCTTGGGCTCCATCATCCACGAGGGGGATTAGGATGGAGTTCCTGGCTGCTGTATTTGGGACTGGTCCAGCCTGGCCCTCCGAAATGGGAAAACCTGTAACTGCAAAATCAATGTCACAGGGATGAAGTCAAGGTGGCTGCCGGCAGGTGCTACACCTGGTCCTGTGTTAACCCCAGCGGTGGCCGGGCTCAGGCTGATCACAGGGAGAGGGTTTCTGGCTTCAAAGAAATAATTCAGGCCTGCAGTGCCTCTGGGGCTGTGCTGAGGGGGTGGCTTGGAGGCCTTTCTGCCACTGTCTTACTGATGAGCTCAAGGCTGCCTTCTCTTTGCCCTGGATCTTTTCACTATCTTGAGCTGCAGAGACAGCTCAGAGCATGCCTGTCAGTTCATTCCCCAAATGCCAAAGTCAGGAACCATTTTTAAGAGCTTTTACAGGGGCCAGCATTGTGGTTCAACAGACTAATTCTCCATCTGCATGTGCCAGTATCCCATACGGGCACTGCTTTGTGTCCTAGGTGCTCCACTTCCCATCCAGCTCTTTGCTTGTGGCTGGGAAAGCAGTAGAGGACTACCCAAAGCCTTGGGACCCTGCACCTCCATGGGAGACCTGGAAGAAGCTCCGGGTTCCTGATCAGTTCAGTTCTGGTCATTGTGGCCATTTTTGGGGAGTGAAGCAGCAGATGGAAGATCTTTCTCTTGGTCTTCCCTTCTGTCAATCTGCCTGTCCAATAAAAATACTTAAGAAACAAAAATAAACAAAAAAACAAAATGTTTTCATGAAGGCTGTGGGGGTGGGGTGGGGAGGAGGGGATCAGATAGCCTCCATCCGTTGGTTTACTCCCAAATGCCACCACAGCCTGGGCAGGGGCCAGGAGCCGGGCCTTCCATCTGGGTCTTCCATGTGGGTGTCAGGGACCCAAGTCCTTGAGCCATGACCTGCTGCCTCCTGGAATGCACATTGGCAAGAACCTGGAATTGGAAGGAGAGGAAAACCTTATTCTGCCCTCGAGTTTTTAGGAAGGCGCTTTCCTACCACACTGTCTGCCACGTGCTTTTTCTTCATCCCTTCTCTTGCCAGACAGTGCATTGTTCCAATCCTTCCATTCTGCTCTGTTTCGCTCCTGGTTCTTACCGATCTCATCCTTGCCGGAGCTTCGTGCTTTGGTCCCTTGAGATTTCTTCCACCAAACACAGCTCCTCTTCCCACAATTATCGGAGTAAGAATGGCCACAGGAAAGCCAGCGTCGTCCACAGTGTAACAAGGGTGCCTGGAACTCTCCCAGGAGAATCCTCACACTTGTGGGAGACCTCCTTACCATGGCCTTACCGAGCGTGCTTCTGTCACATCCTGGTAGGCTGGTTGGTCTGGGCTTCCTCTGGCCTGCAGCCTCTCCAAACCCTCCCGGCCTTCTGCAAGCCAGAGCCAAAGGCTCCTCACGCCCACAGTTAGTTATGCTGATGGCCCTACTGCTGGGTTTTTCCCTATGGGTTTTATTATTATTATTTTTAATGTCATGGCTACAACTAACTCCATAAAAGATTTATCTAGCTCAAGTCCAAGACTGGACATCTTGTGAGCAGGTGGCAACAGTAGAGAGCCAGGGAGAAGTCATTTTTTTTTTTTTTTAAGATTTATTTTTATTGCAAAATCAGAGAGGAGGACAGAGAGAGAGGAAGATCTTTCATCTGCTGACTCACTTCCCAAGTGACCGCAATGGATGGAGCTGAACCAATCCGAAGTCAGGAGCCAGGATCTTCTTCCAGGTCTCCCACACGGGTGCAGGGTCCCAAGGCTTTGGGCCCTCCTCAACTGCCTTCCCAGGCCACAAGAAGGGAGCTGGATGGGAAGCGGGCCGCTGGGATTAGAACCAGCACCCATATGGGATCCTGGCATGTTCAAAGTGAGGACTTTAGCCACAAGGCCACGGCACCAGGCCAAAATCAGGGCTTTTGTAATGACACTCTCCAGAAACTCTGTTCTGAGGGCACCTCTCCCCAGCCTAAGCACTCCCAGCATGCCCACCTCCTACGTGCCATGTGAATTGAATTGCTGGGTGACATTTCCATCCTCCTGGTGCCACTAACTTGTGACTTGAGATTTAGACATGTGCATGAGCTCAGGGGTCAGGGCAGCAGCATGCCTCATCTATAGGGCCCGGTACCTGCTCCCTGCCGGTGCCACAGAACCACAGCCAGTCCTCCCCTCCACCCAAAGTTCTCTCTGCTGAGCAGACTGTATCTTCTACTAAACAAAAAGGGACCTAGGAGGCACGGAAAGACCAGCAGCAGCCACTGCTGGAACTGACCCTCCCTAGCCAGCACCCCAGAACCTCCCTTGCCTGCCCATGCTTTCCCCTCTGTGCCCTGGATACGGATGAGTGCGAAGGGGTCTAACCAGCCCCTAGCAAGAAACATGCAAAGAACTTGAGTCAGTCTCGAGTCCGTTCTTAAATATTTAATTCCCATTTATTTAAAGTTCCGTCAGTCTGTGTACACTATTTATATTAAAAACACAGGAAGCTGGGGTTCCTAACAAAAATATACATTTCCATTTTGGAGACTGTATCCTCAGCACCAGAGCTGGGCTGGCGGGGTGGGCAAGCAGGGATGGGGGTGTGGTGGGCAAGGGGGTCAGGCACAGCAGCCCTGCCCCTCAACCCAAATCCCTGCTCGGCTGGGCACAAGGGAGAGGGGGGAAATCTGCCTGCGAAGGGCCTAACAGGAGCCCGGAGGCCTGGGTTCCAAGCCCACTCACCTACCTGTCCTTGCCGGGCCCTTGCCTGTGCAGGCCTGCTGGGCGCTCTGCCCTGAGGCTCAGACATCGCCCTCTGAGCTGGGCTTTGGCCCTTCTTCTCAGGTGAGTGCCCTTCCATCTGGGAGAAGGCTGGGCAGGGCCAGAGGAGTGTGCCCCGGCCTGGCAAGGTCCCCTGCAAGTGACCAGAGGAGGTGCGGGAGAGCAGCATGGCCGGGGCCAGTGTATCCTGGGCGGCTCCAGCTGTGAGCAGGGGCTGGCTGGCTCAGCAGGGGGATCTTGCTCACCCAGCTCTGGGAACAGGGCACAGCTCTGCCTGTCCAACTGCAAGCCCTCCCTCTGGGTACCCACTTGCCAGAGGGAAGGGTAGAGGCTGGGTGTGGAACCTGGGGGTGCAGTGTTCAGTGCCGTGTTGTGCCGTGTGCAGGGTGTGGCACTCCCTGGAGTGCATGGGAGGGGGGACGAGGGGAGAGCAGGAGCTTCTACTGAGCTGGCCAGAGAAAGGGAGTGGTCACATGGGCTGCGGTCCTATGGGCAGCTGCCCCCAGGCGTGTGGGTGTGGCTGCTGACGGTGGACCTCCCCAAACCCTGGGGGGGAGGGGGTCAGAGCTAGTGCGCTTTGCCTCCAAACCCCAATTTCCATCTCTCTCCTCTTCAAGGAAGAGTGGGGCCCCCACCTGAAGGGAACCCTGCCTCTGTGCAAGCTAGGGGTGCTCCCCAGCGGCCAGCGCGGGGGGGGTGGGGGGAGGGGGACCATCGGCCACATTGGCCTGGAAGAATGGTGTGAAGGAGAACGGAAGGGTGTGTGTGTGAGAGAGACTGGGGGTGCTGCTGGCGGGGGGCGGGGGTGGGCAGCCTTGGTCTATGGAGGGTCAGTTTGGGGAGATAGCTGGCTCAGCCCAGACGCCATGTTCTCCCGCCCTCTGCAGCAGGGACCCCTGTACACTCTGGGTCACTGCTGCGGTGTGGTCAGGCCAGGCCTTGGCTGGCTTCCCTGGGAAGTCAGATCCTATAGCTTAGTGTTTCTTTGGATGGCTCAAGGCTTTTGTCTGAAGACAGGAGCGAAGAGCCTAGGCCCATGGGGTCCTGGGAGGGGCAGAGCGCAGACTCCACTCCTCTTGTTTCTGGGAAGGGTCCTGTTCTGTGCTGCTGGTGAAATAATACAAATGGTGGGGGGAAGAGAAAGAGGACATTATGGGGGTGGAGACAACGGGGGTCTGGGCTGGGTGAGGGTGGGAAGGAAGCCAGGAAGGGACCCTAAAGAAAGGCATTGAAAAAAAAAAAAAAGAGCAGGAACCTGAGCCAAGACAGAGGGAGTGAGGAAGAGAGAGACCACAGGGGTTGGGAGCAGAGCGAGGAGAGCTGGGTGAGCTGGGGCATGGAGGTGAGAGCCGCGTGCTGGCAGCTGGACCACATGGTGGGCGGCCCCGAGGGGCCAGCCTCTCAGTACATGTCCTTGTAGATCTCCTGGAGCAGGGGGTGCAGCGACGTCTCGGTCTCGGTCTTCTTAATGCGCTGCATCATCTGCGCATGCTCGGTGACCAGCTGCCGCAAGTCCGCCATCTTTTGCAGCAGCTTGGGGAAGAGGTACTGGGCATCGGGGTGGTTGGCCTGCAGGTGGAATTCCAGGGCACGCAGGATGGTGTCCTGGATGGCTTCTACCTGCGGCACATTCATGAGGCCTGGCCGGTCTGTGGGGACATGGAGCAGAGGTGTGGGGTCTTCCCTTACTGCAGCCTGAGGGATAGTGGGCCTCCTTGCTTGGGGCCAGACCCAATCCATCCTGCTTGAGCCACTCCAATGGGCGTTCTAGACCCCAGCCCCACCATCCCTCCTTCATGGCTTGCCTGTCGGCCTTCTTTCCTGTTAGCTAATATGGCATCGTGGTTCTGAAACTTGGTGCCTGCATTCAAGTTCTGTTCTAAGATTTCTAGTGGGGCCACAGATGGGTCACGTGGCCCCTTTGGGCTTCAGCCTCCCACTGTGTGAGCTGGGGACAGTAGGAGCTCCTTCTGTATGGGTCTCTCGTGAGGACTGAAGGAGTTACTATGAGAAGGAACTGGCACGTGCAAACTCCTGGCCACTGTGAGCGCACATGCTATGGTTCATTACTGCGCTGGAATTCCAAAAATGCAGGCAACCCCCATGAACCCAGTGGCATCTGATGGAGCTGCTCCTGCATGCAGCCCGTGCCCCAGGCTGTTCCGCTGTTGTGTGGGATCCCCCCACCCCAGGCCCACCCCTGACTCACCTCCACACAGAATGATGGCAGCGATGAACAGGGCCAGGTCACTGTCATCAAGTTCCAGGGCATTGAACTTGACAGCGAACTCAAACTTGGGCTCGATGATATCGCTGAACGGTTTGCGGAGGCTGCGCAGGAACTCCCGGGTGACAAAACCACTGCCGTTGGCCACCAGCAGCCCGTCTTTGTTCACGATCGAGGCCAGCATGGCGAAGATGGCCTCGTGCACACCGTACTTCAGAAGGGTCACCTGGTCGTTGAGGAAGAGGTTGCTGAAGTTGGGGATGCTCTTGGCGAATTCCGTGAGCTCCCGCACCGTCTCCACTGTGGTGCACTGACAGCGGTAGAAGACGTGCACGCTGATCTCCTTGTAGGGTGGGAGGGCGTTCACCAGCTGCTTCCACACCAGGCCCTTCTCCGCCTGCCACAACGTCTCGATGTCGTGGATCACAAAGGGCTGAAAACCAGGCCCCGTTAAAGGCCAGGCCTCGGGGCACCCCCACACCCCCCTGCTGGAACCACAGAGCTAGAGGCGAGCAGAGACCGGTGGCAGCAGGTCCCGGAGCTCGCGGATGCTGCCAGGACCGGCTCTGACACTCACCGCCGTGTGGCTGGCCTTGCCAGTGAGGATGCCGCGGGCCTTCTTTTTGGTCATATTGAAGTTTTTTAGGTAGGCATTGTAGATGTGCTTAGAGAAGGCCTTCAGGTCTGCCACCTGCGGGCTGTGCTGGTGGCCCTCGACTGCTGTCAGGCCGGCCACCAGCTTCCTCTTCTCAGCTTCTGGCATCCGACCAAAGCGGATGGCTGTGTGGGAAGGAAGGAGTCACTGAGGAGCCCAGGCAGCGGACCCACACCTCTCAGCTCCTGTTGCGTGGGGCAGGGATGGAGACATCTTCCAGTCAGCATGGTGGAAGGGAAGCTCTGCCTGCCTCATCTGCAGGGCCTTGCACATGGGGTCCCCACTCTCCGAGTGGCTGGGCTCTGTGGTGTGGCAGCTCCCTAGTACTGCACCTCTGGGCTAATGCTCTCACACACGTACAGAGTAATGTGCATCCGCAGAGTGAACAGTCACTGGTAATCCCACAGAATACCAGCCTGGCTGTCAGAGAGCAGGCAGGAGGATTCAGCCAGCCCCAAGGCTCCTTCCTAAGGAGCAGGTTACAGCAGATGGAACAGGTGGAGGACTCACGGCTGCTTCCCAACTGCCCGAGGACATGGCTGAATAAGTAAGTGGCCTCCTTTGGCCTTGGGGAGCCCAGGACCCTCTGCCTGGCTCCAAACTGCTGCTGCATGTGGTCACTTACTGGCTCCTGTGGGGGCCGATGGCATCCCTGGCCATGGCTTTTTGCACCAGCAGGTTATCCAAGACGGACAGGAGATTGCATCAGTGGGGTTCCCAACTCACTTGTGCTGGGGGTTCAGCTATTGGTTTCCCTCTAACCCAAAGTGGCTGAGCCTCAGTAAAGGAGTTGTGAGAACTGGGCCCAGGCCTGTGGCCCATGGTGGAGGCTGATGGCCTGGGGAAGTGAAGTGACAGGCGTTAGCCTAGCTAATCGGCAGTGTCTTCAGTACTGCCTTATTAGGTCACAGGCATGGGTCTCCAGGCACCCGCTTTTCTGAGGGCTCCCTGAAGGCTGGTGGCAGGGCAGGTATGACACTGGCAACCCCCAGCTCTCACCGTTGTGCGACATGCCCAGTGCCAGGCACTTCTGGAAGCGGCAGTGCTGGCACTTGTTGCGGTTCTTCTTCTGGATCTTGCAGCTCCGATCGCACTTCTCATACTCCAGCTTCATGCGGATCGTCCGGCGGAAGAAGCCCTGAGTGACCGAGGACAGCTGAGCAGGCCCCAAGGAGGCAGACGACGCACAAGGCCCTGCTCTGCCCCACCCCCAAGAAGTCATAGGGGAAATCACTTTACAAGGGAGAGGGAGAAACCAAGCAAGTGACTTGAAAACTTATGGATGAAAGTATACCTATTTATTTTAAATGTCCAAAGAGGTCCTACAATTTTCTTACTAGGTAGCATAAAGCTGCAACTTTTAGTTGGTACTTTAATAAAAAAATTTGTGAAATTTTGATGGGTGTTCACTGGATAAACAGATGTGGCATTTCCTCGTTCTCTAAGGGCCCTTGGAGCTTGAGACACAGGAGACCCTGGCCCACAAGCAGGATGGGCTCCACACTCTAACCCTTTCCGGCCTGCCTGCCTTCTGGAGCCTGGCCTCCAGGGGGTGCCAGCGGCTCACAAGGCTCGCAAGTGCCTGGGTTGGCAGAGGTGCCTGGGAGGGAAACCCTTCTTGTCTTGCAGAGGCACGCACACATGCAGGAATCCTGCTGAGCGTGCCGTCTGTGTCAGGTCAACCCGGCCGCGTGCCCATGGCCCCCAACGCAGGGCCACGCCCTCCTCTGTACCTTGCAGCCCTCGCATGCATGGACGCCGTAGTGGAAGCCTGACGCCTTGTCTCCGCACACCCGGCACTCCATGTTGAGGCTGCCGCATGAGGCACCATCACAGCCCATCTGTAGCTGGTCCAGCAACACAGGTGGCGAGGAGCTCTGGGGTAGGTCTGTGGGCACACAGGGAGTAGGGAGGCTTCACACTCCACAGCCAGGCCTGGGGTGAGGGCCAGGAACCGCTTGGAGCCACATGGTCTCTAGAGTCAACTTCCCCTGACAACCCCCAGTCTTTTCACCAGTCCCCAGCTTCTCGGGGGAAGATGGGCCCAATACCCAGCCACAAGCTGCCCTGACCCTGAGCACAACACATGGCAGCTCAATCAGAACCTTCCTGCTCTGAACTTACCACCAATGAGGAAGAGGTGTGGGGGGTACTGTGTTGTGCCAGGATGCGGGAGTGTGTGCATGAGACACAGGTGAGATGCCATCCCACACTATGGTGCCCTGGTTTGATGCTCACCTTTGGCTTGTTTTTTTTTTTTGTTTGCTTGTTTGTTTTTAAAATATTTATTTATTTATTTATTTTGAAAAAGCTAGAGAGAGAGAGATCAATCCTCTGTCCACTGGCTCACTCTCCAGATGGCTGCAATGGCCAGAACAGGGCCAGGAAGGAGCCAGGAACTTCTGGGTCTTCCACATGGTTGGGCAAGTGTTCCAGAGGAGTCCCAGCTGGGGAGCGGCTGCAGAGGGATGGGGGGAAACAGGTGCAGGCAGCAGGGGGCTCAGAGTTTTTGTCCCAGGGCCGAACAGACAGTAGGCTTCCAAAGCCCAGGTTGGGAAATGAGAGGCAGGGGCTCCATGATGGTGGCAGGGCAATGGGGCAAGTGAACCCCTTGCCTATTTGAGGAGAATAGCAGTCTTAATACACACTTGAAACAGAAAGAGGCAGGAAAGGAGGGGCGTCTTGGTGGGCCTCGAGTGTGTTCTTCCTAATGGTGGAGTTTTCGGTGGGCTGTGTGTGGGAGAAGGTGGCAAAGGGGAAGATCTGCCCAAGATAAAGCTCCCATTCCTCTCCAGCTGCACACCTGGCCTGACTCGATCTCTGCATCACCATCACACCCTAGCTGAAAGAAATAATGTGGGGCCAGTGCCCCCGCATAGCGGACTAAGCCTCTGTCTGTGGCAATGGTTCACGCACTGGCTGCTCCACTCTCCCATCCAGCTCCCTGCTTATGGCCTGGGAAAGCAGTAGAGAATGGTTCAAGTTCTTGGGTCCCTGAACCCACACGGGAAACCTGGAGGAAGCTCCTGGCTCCTGGTTTTAGATGGGGCTCAGCTGCGGCTGAGTGAACTAGCAGATGAAAGATCTCTCTTTATAAATCTGCTTTTCAAATAATAAATCAATCTTTAAAAAAATGACAGCAGAACAATCTGCCCCGCCTTGACCTCTGGCTCAGAGGTGGGGGCACATGGCTGTCTTGACGAGTGGCAGGCTGGGGCTCCGAGAGACCATTGTTCACACCAGGAATCCCTGCCTCAGTGCCTGCCAGCCTTGTCCTTCGAGATCATCTGCCGACACACAGCTGTTCTCCCTCAGCCCAATGCAGTCCTCTCGCCACATCCCCACCTCCTCCTTCCCACCCCTCTGGAAAGGCACCTGCTCAACACACCGGTTCACTGGGTGAGCCAGTGAGGCTTTGAGCTCCACCCCTCAAGCCACACCCTGCCTATTCTGCCCATTTCCCCACATCTCCGAAAGGCCTATCTATTGGGAGGAGAAAGAAAAGCCAGAATGTATCAGCCCCATTCCTGACTGAGTGCTAAGTGTGCATGCCATTTTGCCATCACCTTGGAAATCATCAATTACCAACACTTGAAGGAAACTGAGGCTTGGTGATGTTAAGGACAGCTCTCTGCCCTTCAGGTCATCCAGCACGTGGTGGGCTGGGGTGTGGGCTGAGTTCCCACAGAGGTTCTGTGTCTGTCCCTTCTCTGTGGTGCAGCCACTGCACACCAGGCACACCGCACCACTCATCTCACATAACCTTCCCAATAGCCCTTGATGCAGCTCTTGCCTCCTCTTTTACAGGTGAGAAAACAGGCTCTTCCGAGTTGAGGGACTTGCTGACAGCCCTGTGATGGCTTTACATCAGCCCAGCAGGGCCTCGGCGCCCGGTCTGCCTGTGGCTCTGAAGGTCTATTTTCAGGCATGACTGACATCTCAATCAGCAGACTTTGAGGAGAGCAGATGGCCTTCTACAACGCGAGTGGCCCCATCCAACAGTTGAAGGTCTTCTGGAAATAGACCGGGTCCTCTGGCCCCGCCCCTGGAAGAGAGCATCCTGACCCCACATGCCTTTTCCAGCCCTCTGTGTGTTCTGCAGATTTGGACTTGCCACCTCCACAGCTGTGGGTAAATTTCTTCTCTATTTATTTATTTGAAAGGCAGAGCAACAGAGAAGAGAGACAGAGACACAGAGAGGGAGATCTCCTGAGAGAGATCTTTCATCTGCTGGTTCATTCTCCAAATGGCTGCAATAACCAGCTCTGGACCAAGATGAAGCCAGGAGCCAGGAACTCCAGCCTGCTCACTTGTACCTGTGGAAGAGGCTCAAATACTTGGTTATCATTGCCTGCCTTCCAAAGCACCTTGGCAGGAAGTTGAATCAGAAGCAGAGCAGCCAGGATTCAAACGCTACGGGTTTCTCAGGAGAACCCTATCTGACCAGTGACAGAGCAAAAACTCTACCTAGAATCATCCAGCTCCTGGAGCTGAGCTCTAACCCCTACATCTTTGTCTGTCTGTCTGTCTGTCTGTCTGTCTCTCTCTCTCTCACACACACACACGCATTACTACCAGTCAATAATGTTATCATGATAAACAACTGTGGAGGACACAGGGTCATATCCAAATGTTTGGACCTAGTGTAAATATTGGTCCCTTTACCCAGAGGGTCAAGTATCAGTCTCGCCATCTTTGATTACAAGTTCAGCAAATAGCCACTACTGACCTAACTCACGTGTTTATGTGTGGCTGAGAGCTCCCCTGCGTATATACTCTCCACTGCTGGAGGGCTGCTGCTCACAGCAGTGAGGGCAGCCAAGCTGGGCTGGCCAGTGTATTTCCTTTGCTGGAAGAGTCCACATGCAAACAGGTCACTCTTCAGTTTCTGGTCACTGTAAATTCTGCAGGGATCTGGTGCAAGGGAGCCAAGCAATCTCCTTGCTTCTGCTGCCCTGTGAGTGTGGGTTCCTTGGGGCAGGACCTCAGCCTTATCCACCATGGACCAGATATTCCCTGGTCCCATGCTTGGTCCAGCCTTGATACTCATCAGGTGTTGGGATGAGTACCAGGAGATGCTAAGATGTGGGGAGGGACCCTTGTCTTCCTCCTTGTGGGGTGGAACTCTGAGCAAGAGAGTTTCTGTAATCTCACCTTCCTTCTGGCCAAGTGCTAACTGGGAGGCCTGTCCTGCCTTCCTCCTGGGGGAGAATAAGGGGCCAAGGAGAGGTGCTTGGTGAGCGCTGAGCTGGGGTACTGAGGCACAACCAGTGCAGAGCCACAGAAAGGTCAGCGGTGAGAGCACTCAGCAGCCTTCCTGCTGGTTTAAGGCTTTTAAAGGGGAGGAGACTCTGGAGGCCAAAGTCACAGATTCAGGGGACAGAAATCACAGGAGCTGAGACCTGAATGGGTCAGATGTCCTAGCTGGCCCTTCAGAGCCCCAGGATACAGCCTGAAGGGAATGAGACTCAGGCTGAAGGCAGCAGGCAGGACCTTGGCACACAGTGGCAGACCTGGTTCCTGGCCCGATCCATCGGATCTTCAAAGCCCCTTTCTCCTGCCCCCAACACAGGACAAGGCTCTGTCTCCAGGGCCTCTCCCTCTGCTAACTCCCCAACTTAAAAGAAATAAAATACATTTGAACTTTTCAAGGAGAAGCAGAAGTGTGTTCTGCATCACGAAGATAGTGCAGGATTGCTGAGAACATGTAAGCAGTGCAGGATCGGATGATCAATCCTTCTCTCGGGCCCCTGATCCCTGCACTAGGTCCTGTCGTATAGATACTTCTGGTGTCTTTGCTGGCATAGGATTTTTCAGCAATGGGATCCTCAATTTGTCAGGAAGTTGCTTCCCTGGGAGTATATATGAATCGACCTTATCCTTTAACATAAAAAAAAAAAAAGGATTCAATCTGGGTCTCTTTGTTCCATGTGGCATGTACCACACCATGTAAGTGGTCACCCATAACATGCCCAGTTGTTCCGCTTCCCATCAGCTCCTTGCTAAGGTGCCTGAGAAAGCAGTACAAGATGGCCCAAGGGCTTGGGCCTTTGTACTCACTTGGGAGACAAATGGAGTTGGAGGCTCCTCCTAGCTTCAACCCTGGCCATTGTGCTTCTTTAAGGAAAGACTTCCTTTGGTAACTTTATCTTTCAAAAGCAAATAAGTAAATAAGTGAAATAAATCTTCAAAAACAAAAAGCTAAGAGCAAGCAGATTCCGGGCTTGAGCCCAGGCAATCTGAGGCAGGATGTGGGTGTCCCGAGCCGCAGCCGTGTCCTAACACCGCCGCCTTCTCCTTTTTAATGACCACAGGCTATTTACACGGCTGCGCTCAGTGCACAGATGGTGCTTCCCAGCTCCCACGAGCAGCACTGCAGTGTCTGCAGCCACAGAGATCCCTGTGCGTGCTGGGCAAGTGTTTACACAGAACACATTCCTGCAGGCAGAACCACAATGACCTGTGCTGCCCTGTACCCCACGCCGTCCTTCCACGCTCAGCAGCCGCTGGAGGGCCACATCCCTCCCCTATGGCCAACACCCGCCACACGGCTGCTTTCCATTAACCTGACCGGCCAGGTGACATTTCTCTTGCAATGCCTTCTTTAATCATGAGGGAGACTGAAAAATGCCTGTGGTTTTCTGCTACTTGCCCTGCTATAAAATTACCTGGCATCTAATATACATATGTTATATATACTTATATTTATTTATTAATTTATTTTATTGGAAAGGCAGATTTACACATAGTAGAGACAGAAAGATCTTCCAGCTGTTGATTCACAAATGGTCACAATGGCCAGAGCTGAGCAAGTCCAAAGTCAGGAGCCAGGAGCCTCTTCTGGGTCTTCCATATGGGTGGGTACAGGTCTCAAAGCTTTGGGACACAAGTAGGGAGCTGGATCAAAAGTGGAGCATCCAGGACATAAGCTGGCACACCCACATGGAATATTGTATTTGGAGGTACAGGATTAGAAAGTTGAGCTATTGTACCAGACCCCCTGGTCACTTGTAATTTCTGCTAGTTGGCTGGTCTTGTAGAATGATGGGCCCTTTTATATACTAAGGCTGGAACACATGGTGATTAGATCAAGTGGCTTTTTCCTTCTTTAATTGCTGAACAGAGAAGGCTTTCTACCACGACTTTATTCACTGATAAATGAAATCTATAAGACATTTGTATCATTAAGTGGCACTACTCCACACAGTCCCCTCAAGTGGTAAACCTCACTACCACAACTGCCCAAGGTGCACACTGCCACGCCCGCCTCTGCTCCCAGGCATTGCACTTTGCTCTGCAGTTGAATGGCAGTAGCACTGGGGTGTGGAGGAAAGCCCAGAATAGAACGTTACTCTGTGGGTCACTTCTGTCTGCCCAGGCCCAGGCCCAGGTGTGAGGACATGGTGGTGGGGTAGGCGGTGAGCTCACAAACCTGTGGCCTTTTACCCCATTTCCCTCCTTTTTAAGGGAGTCCTTGTAACACCCCTGACTTGTTCTCGATCTCCAGTGTCTTTCTTCTCTCTAGCCCTCTTTGCTTTTCTCAAATTCAGACAGACTGTAAACAGCTACTCCTGGCTAGTTGGCCATTCTTTCTTTCTTAACCAGGGGAGATTTCACCTGCCCCTTTTGCCTTCTGCAAACAACAGGGGATCAAGGGCTCACCCCTAAGGAGCAGGCCTGCTCCTTGGCCTGCAATGGCTTTCACCTTTGAGCTCAGCAGTGAGCTTGGGGCACCTCCCCTGCAGCATACTGTCATGACCTTGAGGCTCCTTGGAAGGAAGGGAGTGAGGGTCCATTGGCCCAGCAGCTCTCTCAGGGGAGGAGGGCCTGGCATACACAGGGAGCGGCTGGAGCCAGGGGCAAAGCAGTAGATATAACACGAGGATGATTAAGATGATGGCACAACAGGATTGGCTGCGTACACTGCTGCCCATCACAGCTACATGAAGGTGAATCAATGGAGAGGTGACAGAAGTTGGAATATGGCTGCACCTTAGTGGAATTGTGCATTTCCACCAGTGACCACAATCACAAGCACAGTCACCCTTCTGGTGCATGGTTGGTGAGGGTGGTCCCAGAAGCCCATGGCAGCAGTGGTGGGAATGACATCACCGATGATGGCAACACACATGCTGATCACATGCTCATTTAATTCTCACAAAATCCCGGGTCTGCATCGCTTGCTACACTTGGTACAACGTACCCAAATCCCTGCAGCTGCAGACAGTAGAGCAGGCTGCCAGTTCAGGCTTCACTCCATAACCACTCTGCCCCACCACGCTCCACAGAATGCTGCTTGCAGCAGGACCTGTGTCCCCGTGCTGCCTGGAGGCCCCTGTTAACCTCCACTCACCTGCATAGCTGCTGGAAGGAAGCACCTGCTCTGGTCCCCCACTGGGCTCTTGGGCTCCTTCTGCCTCTGCCACTTCCTCTTTCTCCTCCTTTTCCCGAACCTCAGGGGTCTCCTCTGGGGGCTGCTCCATGGCTGATCTCCCCTGGGCGCCACACCTGCAGGCCGGGTCATAGTTCTGGCATCATCTGGGTCTGAATGCAGATGGACCTCTACAGGGCAATTCCCGTCAGCCTGCACAAGGGAAGAAAACAGGGGGTTGAGCCAGAGTGGCAAGGGAGAGGCGGTATGTGTGTGTGCGAGTGTGTGCGAGTGTGAGCACACTAGCACGTGTGTTACAAAGTGCTCAAGGGCCCACATGCTGTGTTCTGCCTTGCTCCTCCCTCAGTCTCTGTGGTACTACCCCATGGCCTCTACTCGCACTGTGAGTCACTTGCCCTCTCAGCATTTTTGGCTCTTGTGGTGGGTTTGTAGGGTTTAGTGCAGTCTCCATTAACCAGAGAGGGTAAAATGACCACAATGCTGCCTTGCCCTGCCTGTGCCACTGCACCAGTGCATTCTGCCCTCGGGAGCTCCTGAGTCTCCAAGAGCCACAGTGACCTGAGGGCTCTTCCCAGCTCTGCAGCCTTGCCAAAGGTCCTGGGATGCATTGCACCTTCCAGTCCGCCAGCCCATGCCCACCAGCACTTGGGCCCAACAACCATTGCTCTCCTGAGCTAGCCAGCAGTTTTTTCTTTTAAATTTATCTATTTTTTTTTTTAATTGGAAAGACAGATCAGATTTATGGAGAGGAGAGACAAGAGAAAGATCTGCTGGTTCACTTCACTGGTTCACTCCCCAAATCACCACATTGGTGGGAGTTGAGCTGAGCTAAAGCCAGGAGCTTCTTTTGGGTCTCCCCAACAGAGGGCAGGGTCCCAAAGCTTTGGGCCATCCTCTACTGCCTTCCCAGGCCACAAGCAGGGAACTGCATGGGAAATGGAGCAGCTGGGACATGAACTGGGGCCCATACAGGATCCTGGCATTTGCAAGGTGAGGATTTGGCCTCAGCTAGCTTTCTTTTCTTTCTTTTTTTTAAATTTAATTTTTATTGCAAAGTCAGATATACAGAGAAGAGGAGAGACAGAGAGGAAGATCTTCTGTGCAATGATGCACTCCCCAAGTGACTGTAACGGCCAATGCTGAACCACTCCGAAGCCAGGAGCCAGGAACTTCTTCCAGGTCTCCCACACGGGTGCAGGGTCCCAAGGCTTTGGGCCGTCCTCGACTGCCTTCCCAGGCCACAAGCAGGGTGCTGGATGGGAAGTGGAGCTGCTGGGATTAGAACCAGCACCCATATGGGATCCTGGCGTGTTCAAGGTGAAGACTTTAGCTGCTAGGCCACTGCGCTGGGCCCCTCAGCTAGGTTTCTTAAAGGGGACAGGTTCCACTTTCCTTCTTGTGCTTTGGTATGGAAAGCAGACCTGCAAAAGCTAAGCCTGGCTCATATGGATGGCCCTGCCTGGGGTCTTTCCAAGGTCGGCTTCTGGCTGTTCTGATCACCCAGGAAGAAATAAAATATTGTCCCCAAACATCACAGCCTAGGGTGGTACCATCACAAATCACTGTGTGAGACTCCTCCCAGGCAAACAATGGAGAGGACCCTGAAGCCGTGCAAACATTTTTGATTTTATAGCTAGCTTTGTGGTACAGTGGATTAGGCTGTCACTGAAGACACTGGCATCCCATAACAGAGTGCTGGTTTAAGTACCAGTTGCTCTGTCGGAGTTCCCTGCTATCGTACTAGGGGAGAGCAACACAAGATGGCCCCAGTAGCTGGGCTCCTGACACCCCCGTGGGAGCCCTTACCTAACTGAGGCTCTTGGCTTTGGTCTGCCCTAGCTAGCCATTTGAAGACTGAAGCACATGGAGGATCTGTTTGTGTCACTATGCCTTTTAAATAAAATAAATAACCTTAAAAAAATATAAATGTTAGGGCGTGGCTAAATCCTTGCCTTGTGAGCGCTGGGATTCCATATGGGTGTTGGTTCACATCCCAGCTGCTCCACTTCCCATCCAGCTCCCTGCTTGTGGCCCGGGAAGGTAGTAGAGGATGGCCTAAACCCTTGGGACCCTCACCTGTATGGGAGACCTGGAGGAGGTTCCTGACTTTGGAACCATGCTCCGGCCATTGAGGCTACTTTTGGGAGTAAACCAGTGGACAGAAGATCTTTTTAAAAAAAGATTTATTTATTTATTTATTGGAAAGTCAGATATACAGAGAGGAGGTGAATCAGAGAGGAAGATCTTCCATCCGTTGATACACTCCCTAAGTGGCTGCAATGGCTATAGCTGTGCCGATCTGAAGCCAGGAGACTGGAGCTCTTCTGGGTCTCCCACATGGGTGCAGGGTCCCAAGGTTTTGGGCTGTTCTTGGCTGCTTTCCCAGGTCACAAGCAGGGAGCTGGATGGGAAACAGGCCACCAAGATTAGAACCGGTGCCCATATGGGATCCCAACACATGCAAGGTGAGGACTTTAGCTGCTAGGCTATCATGCCGGGTCCTGGACAGAAGATATTTTTCTTTCTGCTTCTCCTTTCTGTGGATCTGCCCTTTACATTTTGGTTTACTCATTTGAAATGCTCCCTGCCCCACACATACACACACATATACCTACAGATACATATATACCTCTTTTCCACTGGTTTACCTTCCAAATGCCCACAACAGCCAGAGCACAGGCAGGCCAAAGCAGGAGCTTGGAACTCAATCTAAGTCTCCCATGTGTACGTTATGACTCAGGTACTTGAGCCATTACACAGTGCTGTCCAGGGTATGCATTTGCAGGGAGCCAGAATAAGGAGCAGAGACAAGACTTGAACCCAACCACTCCGATACGGGATGAGGGCATCCTAGGTGGTATCTTAACTGCCTCGCTTTGGGCAGGTTCAAGGATCTGTGGAGCCCTTCTCTTGGATACCCCCACACATAGCTATCCAAACAGAACCCCCATCTATCTTCTCCCAAGCCCATCCTTCTTTCTCTGTTAATTACTACTCTGGGGGCCAGTGTGCTGGCTCAACAGGCTAATCCTCTGCCTGGCAGCGCCACCATCCCACAGAGGTGCCAGTATGTGTCCTGGCTGTTCCAATTCCCATCCAGCTCCCTTTTTATGACCTGTGAAACCAGTAGAGTATGGCCCAAGTCATCCTTGTTTGAAAGAAGCTTTTGGCTCCTGGTTCCTGGCTCCGGCTGGGCTTAGTTCCGGCCACTGTGGCCATTTGGGGAGTGAAGCAGTGGATAGAAGACCTTTCTCTCTTTCCTTCTCTCTGTAAATCTGCCTTTCCAGTTTTTTTTTTTTTAATCACTACTTTAGTAGTGAGTCACACACTCATCCATCACTTATCAAAGTCTGAACATGAATGTCACCAGGATTCCTTCCCCCACACCAGGTCTGCCAACTTGGCTACACATTGGAATCATAGCAGAATTTTCAAAACTATGTACAAAGGGCCCATCCCTAAATATTTCAGCAGTTTGGGAAACACTTGAGCATTGGAATTTTTTATTGTTTTAAATTCCCCTGGTGTTTGTGATATGCAGCTAAGCTTGCATGCTCCACAGCAAAGCAACTTCCAACTGGTGGTAAATCATTCCTTCTTGATGCCTCTTGGCTCCATGCTCTCCTCCCCACAAGGCCTTCTCTGGCGTGTGCATGTACACAATAAACTCCAGTTGGCTCCCCAAATGTCGTCGGGGAATTCAGTCCTAGGGTTTGGAAGCTGGAGAGCTGGGCACTAGGACTCAGCAGTTCTGGGAGGATTACTGTTGCTGTGACCACCACAATTCATTAGGGGAGACAGCAACACGTCAGGGGAGCAGAAAGCAAGAGGCATATGACAAGGAAATGGCCAGAAGCACTGGGACAGCTGGGGTGTCACAGCCAAAGGAAAGGGAGGCACCAAACATTTCAAAGGCCACAAAGGTTCACGGTGACAAAGTGACCCATAGCTGCTGGACTTGGAGACCATGAGATCACCAATGACACTGGTAGATAGGTGTTGGTCATGTAGCAGAGCAGCAAATCTGGGCTCAGAAGGATAAGGACAGCCAGAAAGCTGGGAGAGTGAACGGAAATTAGTCTGGGGGCAAATGTGTCAGGGAAAGGAATGTACAATAGGATACTAGCTTGAAAAAGCAGTGAAGTCAGGAAACTATGAACAGAGGAGATTCGAATAGGCTGTGGATTCAGGAGAGGTCAGCAAACAAGAGCTAATCTAAAGAGCATCAGGAGGAGGTGGGCCTTTGGTGTGGCGGTTAAGATTCTGCTAGGGATGTCTGCACCCTGTATCAGTTCCTGATTCAAGTCTGGGCTCCTCCACTTGCAGTCCTGCTAGTGCATCCCGGTTAGCAGCAGGTGATGGCCTGAGCACATGAGTCTCTGACACAAACACGGGAGATCCAGCAATGAGTCCAAACTCCTGGCTTCAGCTTTAGCCTTGCCTGTTGAGGGCCTATGGGGAGCGAATGAGCTGAAGGAAGATCCCTCTGCCTTTCAAATAAAGACAAAATGAAGGAAAGAAAGATTGATTTAAGGGGTCAGGGCAGGATGAGAAAGAAATTGTTCAAGGATAAAGGAAGAAGAAAACACAAACTGATGTCATAGTACTGTGGAGTGCTAAAGTTCATAAGGGACAATCTCAATCCCTAATCAACGAAGTAAGAGGAAGGCTCGTCTGCTGAAAGTAAACAATGGGATTTGAGAACAGCAGAGAAGCTGTATGCAAATACTTGGCACATGGTATAGAGATTAGCTGGGTGGGAATAAACAATCCTAGTAAAGCTATAATAATTCAAACAATGTGGTACTGGCATAAGAACAAATAACCAACAAGATAAAATAGTTCATAAATGTACACAACTTCGATATATTGTCAAGACAGCAAAAAGAAATCAAAAATCTTGAAATCAAAAAGATGATTTTTTAAATAAGCGGTATGGGGCAACTAAGGAGTCACTTGAGAAAACCGAGGTGGATCCTTGCCTCACGTTATTATCACGGCACAACTGAAATGAATCAAAGGTTCCAAAATTAAAACAATATGTACACTACAAAAAATCATGACGTGCTCGCTTCGGCAGCACATATACTCAGAAATCATGTGACTATATATTATGGTGTTGAGGTAGGGAAGAGTTAAGCATAGAGCTAAGCCCATAAAATCTTTATGTTAGCAGATTATGAGTAAAGAGA